ACTTGTATAAAAGTTTCCACGTTTAGCACGTTGTGCTTCGTTCAAACTGCTTCCGAGGGTGGCCAACTCAATTATTTTTCTCTCATTTACTTTAAAAATACGGAGAGGTGAGTCTGGCCTTCTTCGACTACAACAAAATATGAAGCCTGACTGATGACTGCTGGTTCACGTTCGTCGTACCACTTGAGCATATTTCCAATACTCGTGGGCACTTTTTTTCCAGTAACAATAAATGGACCCTTCTATTGCATGAGGAGCCTATTTGTACTGGTTGGGAGTAATATCAGTGCCTGGTCACCACTTTAAGATATCGTCGTGCTTTAAAGGCTCGGTCATAATACTCTCTTCTGCGTGGTTTGGGTGGGGCAGAGGTTCTCTTGCGCCAAATTATGTTTGTTCGAGCCGTTCTCTCAGATCGAACCCATAACCATAGGTGCTCTTTACATCCTCTTTTAGGTCTTCACCTGTCCAAAGCTCCTTGAGAATATCATACAGGGACCTCGTCCATGTCACCGTATATCAGTTCAAAAGGTGAGAAGCCCATACAGGGCTGAGGGGCCTCTCGAGAAGCTAACAGAGGTGCGAGGAGGCGGTCCCAAGACTTCGGCTTTTCTTGGCATAACTTGCGTAGCGTCTGTTTCAAGGTGCCATTGAACCTTTCAACTAAGCCATTACAAATGGTGGTAAGGCGCCGAACTTAGTGTCGAACGCAAACTATGTGTTCACTACTCCCATGAGCTCCACGAAAAACAGGAAACTTGATCGAAAGAATCTCCCGTGGGAATCATGTACGAGAAACATACTCGGTGGATATGCTGTAATTTTTTTCATCAACGCGTTTTCTCTTGTAATTATTGTGCGTGTTTAGTAAAAGTTGCAAACGATTTAGAGTACTTCGAACACGGCTAGTCACGGCGAGAATGCTCGCGGACTAGAGGGGGGCGGGGGGAGTTGAAAAGTGGTTAACGATTTTTAGACTGCTTAGTACTCTACTATGGGAAAGCATAAATCCACCCCGTGTGTCTAGAAAAAGTAGTTCACGATTTAGAGTACGAAGTACTTACTATGGGAGAGCATGAAACCGTCCCGATGGCCTCAACGAATGACGTCGAGAGCCTAACCACCGATGTCGGATTGGTTTAGAAAAAAGTAGCAAACGTTTTAGAGCACTCGGTACTCTACTATGAGAAAGCATACAGCCGTCCCTTGGGTACTCTATCATGGAAGCTTTTGGCTAAGATCAAAGTGTGAAGAGCAATACAAGAGAGGGGGGGGGGGGTAGAGAAAGTGGGTAACGATTTAGAGTATAGGATACTCTACTATGGGAGAGCTTAAAGCCGTCCCGTGAAGCAAAAAGTTAGACTAGCTGAAAATGGCTTATTGTCGTAGCAATACAAGAACGGGGGGGTTTAGAAAAAGGGGGTAACGATTTGGAGCACAGGGTACTCTACTATGGGAGAGCTAGACGAAGAAACAACAGATAAGTGTGTCCGTGGAGCCAAGCTGCGTAAGCAAAACCCTTGCATAAAGTATCTTGAAAAGGCATGGTGCTACATCTGGTTACATTTCAGAGCTGAGCAGTCTATACAAATGGTTTCTTTTGTAACTTATACAATAAAAAGTGCTAGTAAAAGCAAATTAAGCTTCGATTTTATCCATTAACAAACGACTACAAAATATTCAAAATGCTCGGAGCAGTAAATTTAAATGTCTCACGGATTCTTGAAGCAAGGGGCAGCGGGTAATAGTGGCCAACTGGTGTAACAGGTTCTTATGTAATTCGTATGTGATTCTTTTAAACTGAAACATCCGCTTTCTACAGCGACCAAAATTCCCCTGCCGCCGAAACGGCAGCATCGTTCGCACTGGACGCGCCCCGCGCCGCCGAATATGCCATCTACTACGGGGCGAACGCGGGATGGGTGCCCTGTCTCCCGGTTGTTGTCGCGGCTTGCAAACGCTACTACGCTATCCGGTGGTGTATACTTCGACGATTCTCGAACGCAAGAAGCAAGAAAAGACAGTGCTGCTTACTTTGCTGGCAAGTGGCTGTCTTGTAATGCACGAAGAGCAGAAAAACCACCGAAGCCAGTGGCGTTGGTGGGTTTGTTTTGCTCTGCAATACAGCAACAAGCTCGGTCACCTCTTTCCAGAAATACGGAGACGAAGTAGGCACAGAGTAGGTTAAACTCCCGTTGGTTTCAACATTCAGTTACGTGCACTGCGGCATAACAAGTGAGTAGGGCTTGGCCGCCATTTTTCAAAATTCCTTGACTAGCGCTCTTATTTGTCCGCGGTGACGAACAAGTGAGCTCCGTAACTGTCTGCATCAGAGTGCAACACCTCAACAGTAGCTCACGAGGGAAGTAGGTAAGGAGGGATCAAAAAGATAAGAATAGAGGGTAAATAGATAGAGGGAGGCGCAGTGACAGTGAACGACAGAAAACGAAGGAAGTAAGGAGGAGATGGGAAAGATGGATACGGTCGCAGGAGTCCAAGGACGGGGCACCACTCAGCGAAAGCTCTTGTCGGCGGCAGCTAAGAGATGGCGTATAGGGCGAGCCAGTCGGCCAGAGCTGCGCTGTCGCCGGAGGTCTGGGGGGTGGGGCACAACTGGTCGGCACGAAATTCAGCGAGCGAACAGGTTTAACTAAAGCCTCTGATAGACATGCCAGACATACAAATTAATGATACAATAATTGAAAAAAAGCATCAGCTCTACGCGAGATCGCTAACGTATTACTCATCGCGACTAACTTTAAATCCGACTCGCGGCTTGATCCAAGCCTGAGTGAGTCCAAGTGAGTCGACTCATGAGCCCATTAGTCAAGAATTAGCTTGTTTCACAGTATCAATGCTCTTTCACACCAATGTCTTATGCAATCAGTGCTCTTCCTGACGTCTTTTAATGAAGTACCTTAGAATACAAGTTATGAGTGCTTGCAAGCGAGTAAGAAACAACATTAAATGTATTTATATATTACGAGCTTCTCTGGAAGAGCTGGCCGGGCAGAGGTCAAAGCAACCTTCTACGCAACTCACACCTCTGATCTATAAATATTGTAACGGTGTATGAATACTGCTCTGTAATACGTATGAGTATACACGTGAGTATATATGTAGACCCATATAAGGCTGATACTTAGGGTGACGACGAGGAGATAGCACTCAAAATATATATCTTGCACTTTGAACTCATTTGGACTCACTCATTAAATTTTCCCTGAGCCGTACTCACACCCACGAAAATGTTTATAATCCGACTCGCTAAGACTCGCTCACCAAAATAGTACGCAATCAGACTCACTCAGGCTACAGCTCGATCCGGGTCGAATCCGAGTGAGTCGACCCATCAGTGAGTTCGCCCGCCTATGGTGCTGAAAAGTGAAGACACCTGCGCACGTTTTTAGGGACAAAGCTCCTTATGCCGTGGGTCGAGCGTCCGCGATGCATGTTGTTGTTGTTGTTGTTGTTGTTGTTGTTGTTGTTGTTGTTGTTGTTGAAGGCGTGTCAGTCAAAATCACATTGAAAAAGTAATGGGCAAGTTGTAGGCAAAGTAACCACTGGATTCGAGATTAAAATATTGGATTCCAAGAAAAGGCAAATTCGCGGATGAGAATAAGAAGTTTGTGGGTGCAACGTGGCATGCAACAAGCACAGGACCGGGTTGAATGGTGGAAAACTGGAGAGGTCTTTGTCTACGGTCAGGCAGAGAGGCAGAATGACGATTGTGATGGTGATGTGGGACATCAGCGCAAAGTAAATGGGAAGAATACAGGAAAGTTGAAAGTTCTCACATTACTAGCGCTATAGTCCTGTCTATATGTTGCCGTGTTTGTTTAGCTGTGTTCTGTACTATGAATGTCTACCAACTGTCTAGCGTTCGCACGCTGTTGTGCGTGACACGCAGGAGCTGGGCGACCTGAGCGCGGGCCGCGTCTCCTCCGAGCACTGGCTGGAGGCCATCAACCGGCACCTCCCCGAAGAGGCCCAGATGGGCGAGCTCAGCGAGCTGTACATCATCGGCACCGCCTACTTGGGCGTCGCGGGTCGCTTCCTGGGCAAGTACGCTCGCGAGCCGGACCGGCTGCGGCTCTTCATCGGCTGGCACGTGGCCCGGTCACTGATGCCGCTCGCCTCGTATGAGCTCACCAAGGAACTGCAGGTAGGGTTAGACAATCACCCTGGATACCGCAGAACTGTCCAGACAAGTCATGCAGAAAAAGAACTTGTTGCTTGAGTTAGCTAACCACTTTCAAAATTATTTGAGCACGTACACGCAGCACTTTTACACACACACGCACCCAGGTAACTGTGAGTGTTGTATACAAGGAGTGTTCAATTGAAAAGGTACGATGGGACACTGCGGATATAAATGAAAACTATATTCAAAGTATGTGCCTAATCTAAACGATCCCATCAAAAAACGAGCCGAAGGATTCCTTGTTCTCAGTATTAGCGTGACCGTGACGAGAGCAGTCCTCAAAAGCGTCTTTCAGTATGTGGTCCGAGTTTAAGCGATTCCCTTTTAGATGTAGCGTTAGCTACTCTGGCCAAGCCAAAGCCAAGCCAAAGCTGTTTTTCGTGCACGTATACGAGATCCGTGCTGTGCATGCGCCAGCAGCAATGACTGGGCGTACCTCACCAGGCTGCGAATGAATAGATCGATGGCAACTTTATTGTTGTGCCAGATAAGGAGCCTCCCTCACCCTGCTCTCCTTCCTTGGCAACACACACGCCTAGGTGACGGGGGCTGGCACCTTCGCGATTAGAAGCAGGCGAAGAGGTACTGGCTTTTTGCGGTTTCTTCTGCATTTTAGAAGATTGACGTCATAGGCGCGGCAGACGCATTCTAGTTGTACCCCGTGCCTCGTGCACCTCAAGTCACGCTGCTCTCTTTGGTCGAATCTGCCGCGGCGCTCCATACCGATAGCGGGCCGTTTGTCAGTATAGTACACCGATGGAAGAGGAGAGCGAAATTGCTGCTCAGCGGCGCAGAAGAGCAGATAAGCTTCATGATGATGTGAGATGTAGGGTGTAATGTCCCAAAACCACCATAGTATTATGAGGGACGCCGTACTGGAGGGCTCCGGAAATTTCGAGCACCTGAGGTTCTTTAACGTGCACCCAAATCTGAGTCCACGGGCAAACGACATTTTCGCCTCCATTGAAAATGCAGCCGCCACAGCCGGGATTCGATCCCGCGACCTACAATTCAGCAGCGGAGTGCCTTAGCCACTAGACCACCGCGGTGGGGCGATCGGAAAAACTTAGCTCACTTGGATCCCGAAGTAGTTGCCGGACAATTCGCTGTTGAGCGCAGGAAGAACGAACGGAAGGCTAAACGTGCAACGGAAACACCGGAGCAAAGGAAGTAACGTCTGGCAAAGTGACTTCACCAGGAGACTGACTCAGATACGGTAAAACTTAGCGAAAGTGGCAGCACGACTCGGACCTTCGAGACGGACTTCGCAAGCAATCCTTTTGGATATGTGTGCGACATGTGTGAAACACCAAGGCACATGAAAGACTTGACGCCGGCAATCAGTACCATGCGTGAAACATTAAGTTTAGCGACACCCCCTTAGCTCACGCTGCGTATATGTTGGCATAGCCGAGCAAAGCCACTGCTGAGTTTTGTATATGCGAAGCAGCTCTTTGATTAGCCTCTCTAACGCTGTCCCTTACGTTCGTACGAACCCCTTCGCCACAGGTGTTGGAGCGGGGCCAAGTAGGTCAAGTCACAGCTGCACGTTGACGTAACTCTCTCCCTCACCCGCAGCAGTTGCCGGCCCCTCGGCCTGCTCGCAACACACTTCTCTGTCGCTTCACCCTCTCCACCACCCGCAACGCTCGACCACACGTCGAACGGAAACACCCTTTCGGTTCAAGTATCTGCGGTGAAAATTGAAACGCAACCCACCTCCCGTGTATTTGTGCTTCGAAGAAACATTTACACGAGTGAACGCTACACCGAGTTTCGCTTCAAACCGTTCTTCTAGCACCGGCGTCGACGCCCGTTTCAAGTGGGTCAACGCCGTGCACACCACTGCCACTTCGCATTCCATCAGGTTTTCCTTCGGGCAGACATTCACCTTCTTCACTACATTTTCTCCACTGCGGAAAACAGTCTGTATGTGAACAGTGTGTTTACATCAACAACTAATCATTATAACTAATTCTTATGCACTCATTGCCAAGCATTGAAGGCAATTTTGCTTTTTGTTTTTTTCTAGTACGTTCAATATTGAATTCCGTTTGCGTTGTGTTATATCGACATGCTGTATAATTTATTATTTGTTTGTTAGTGTTAAAGTTAACCGAGTGTCCCGCTGCAGTCGCTCTACTTTGGGACCTTCACCTACATACCATTGACCATGGACCTTTGTATCTTGAAGTAATAATCGGCTGAAACTAAACTAAACCCTAACTGCAGGCCGAGACGAGCGAGGCGCAGATGGCCGTCACGTACCTCGAGTCGTGCATCGGCCGCGTTTCGGAGATGGCGCCGTTCGCGTTGGCCCACTTTTTCTTCGCCAAGTTCCTGCCGGCGGGAGCGCTCAAGACAGCCGACCGCATGGTGAACTCGATACGCGACTCCTCCCTGCTCGCCTTCCGCAACCTCTCCTGGATGGAGGACTCCACGCGCAGGCAGGCCGTCAACAAGCTTTCCTCGCTGCACGAGATCGTCGCCTTCCCCAAGGAGCTGTCATCGGCCGAGGCGATCGACGCCCACTACTCCTACCTGCCCAAGTTCAGGTCAGCCACAGCATTAACGCACACCAAATCGCGACGCTTAATACCCCGAAAAAAATGCCGCCATATCCATGAAGTGAATGATGATGAGTGGGCGAAGCTCCGGAGGTAAACCTGGTAAACCATGAATCCTCCGTACATTTTGCCCACTCGATTTTATTGCAACGCTCCCCCTAGCGTACGTCGCCGCACTATATCGAACGATGACACGCGCCATATGTGGCATCATTCCTATTTTATAACACCTCGCATCTTTCATAATCAACTACACGTACCGCCGTCTAGTTTATAACATCTTGCATCTTTTGGACGGACGGACGGATGGATGGACGGACGGATGGACGGACGGACGGACGGACGGACGGACGGGCGGGCGGGCGGGCGGGCGGACGGACGGACGGACGGACGAATGGATGGATGGATGGATGGATGGATGGATGGATGGATGGATGGATGGATGGATGGATGGATGGATGGATGGATGGATGGATGGATGGATGGATGGATGGATGGATGGATGGATGGATGGATGGATGGATGGATGGATGGATGGATGGATGGATGTATGTATGTATGTATGTATGTATGTGGCTGTACCATTTAGATCGGGCGGTGGCTAGCGTAATACTTAGAACTGAACGAGAGGTGGCTACATACAGGGGACGCACAGCCCACGCCTTAAGGAGCTTCGCTCCTAAAAATGATCGCAACTCTCTCGGAAGGGAATAGCGCTTTATAATGGGTAACGACGCGATGGAAGTGGCAAAAGTCTACTAAAGACAGGTACATGACCACGGAGTCGCACTATGAAACGGAAGTTACTAAAGCGATAAGAATGGGGTGGTGCACATTCGGTAGCCATTCTCAAATTATGGATGATAGTTTGCTACTATCCTTCAAGAGGAATGTGCAGAACAGCTGCGCTTCACTGGTGCCTTCTTAGAAGCGGAAACCTGGAGGCTTACATAAAATGGAACTCGAATTGAGGACGATGCAGCGAGCGATGGAAAGGAAGATGGGCGTAACCTTGAGGGACGAGAGGACAGGGCGGGCCATGGTACAAACGGGTTTGTAGGGCATCTTAGTCGTAATGAAGAGGAAGAAGTGGGCATAGTCAGAGCGTGTAGCACGTACAGGCAAGATAACCGCTGCTCACAGAATGTATTCTGAAGGAGGCAAACGAGCAAGGGGGGATACCATCAAGTGGGCAAACTGAATCTTACTGATGGCTCGATAAACCTGGCCACAACAAGAAGAGGACCGGGTTGATTGGTGGAACATGCGAGACACCTTTGTCTTTCGGTGGACACCGATCATGCAGTTGACGATGAGTATGATGACGACGCAAATGAAGGGGAAGAGCAACCCAAGGACAAGCGCAATACGCACTTGTCCTTGTGCTCGTCATTGTGTTGTTTCTCGTTGTCCTCGCGTTCTTTTGCGAATACCGTTACGCTTTCAAGTGGCTCTACGGCTGGAGAAACAAAAGCAGCACAAGTTATTCGTGGCGGTCATATACAATATATTACATCTATCGCGACTACAATCCGGGGGCACAGGTCATCGTGTACACAAAACTGGGGGGAATTCAGGACTTAATTTCAAAGCACAGCTATAGTCTGTACCCGCATAAACGATTAGGTGCACGTCCCCTGTAGTGTATGTGAATAATTATTTTTCTAAATAATTCTCTAACATTTTATATGAGCATCAACACAAGATTACCCTGCAAAAAGCGCATTAGGATTGAAAGGCAGAGCCGATCAACCGTGGACAAAGGTTGCTGTATAGCATATCACAAGAAAACAAGTTTTTAGTTAAGGCTTTTGTGGTCCTTACGAACAACAACCAAATTTGACTAATCTTAATTCTATCAGCGAAATGTCTTTCAACTCGCTTTCCGGGTAAACTAGAAGGGTCCCTTTAATTTAAAATATGTTTAAAATTTTAAATTACTGTGCCACCACTTCTGTTGAGCAGTGGACGACATATGCGCATTGAAGGAAGTTTAGGCCGCTACGCAATAATGGTGCGAAGATTTGGGAAATGGCGGAGCTGGTGGTGTTGCCCTCTTCTTTTTCCTCCTCCTGATAGTAGCTTCCCTTTCCCAATTCTTACTATTCTATACGATAGGCTATGCTATACTATATCGTACTGTACTACACTATAGAATAGGTTATACTGAACTGAATTATACTATAGGCTATACTATACTATACCATATTATAGTATATTATACTACATGATAGGCTATACTATAATATACTACATTATGATATAGGCTATATTATACCATACTGAACTACACTGTACGATAGGCTATACTATACTACATTATATTATAGGATATACTATACTTTACGATAGCCTATACTATACAATACTATGTGATAATATTCAATAGGCTATATTACATCCATACTATACTACACTGTACGATAGGCTATACTATACTATACGTAGCTATGCTTGCTCTCCTTGTTCTTGTTTGGTATCTGTGTTGCATCTTTTTCTTTTTCGATTTCTTTATCCTTTATCATTCTCTTTTGCTACCCTTTTTTCTCCCTTTTTCTCTTTGTCTCTTTCTCCTTGCACTCCTTCTCTCACCTTCTATTTTTTTTTCTTCGCGTTCACTGTCTCTCTGTCTCTGCGCTCGTTCTCTCGCCAATCGGAGTTATGGCCACACACGCCATATAGGCGCACGTCTTCTGGGACGAAGCACGAGATGAAGATGACGAAGAAAGCACGAGCTGGTACATGATCACAAGTTTTCAGGTGTCGTGAACGGGCGTAACGAAAGAAGGACTCTACGGCTTTACAACCACGCAAACTTCGGCAACTATTCTGTACGCAGGCGCCCGTTTCTGCGCACGTACACGGAATCGCTTCGCGCCGCCCTGGCGCAGTCCAAGCCCCTTCTGCGCGGCGGCCGCGGCAACCGGTCCATCAACCGCGAGCTGTACCTGCACGCGCAGCCCATACCGGTGAACGCGTTCTACATGTTCGTCTACCACGTGATGTTCATCATGCCGTCCATACAGTTCCCGCCGTACTTTGCGCGCTCCCTGCCCACGGCGGCGCGCTACGGGGGCCTAGGTCACGTGGTAGGCCACGAGATCACGCACGTCTTCGACCCTTTCATGGGGAACATGGACCAGACCGGAGTAAAGGTGCGCTAGCTGGTTGCAGTTTGTAGACAAGTTAGAGCCTTAATTAAACAGCACGCTATAGAGAAATGTTTGCTCGAATTACATGAAACACACATTTGTGATAGCATGTAGTTTACTGAAAGTGGACGCTTGGTTAGACAGAAAGGACGAAAAAGTGTTCCTAAAAGATACCAAGTATTATTTCCCACTCTCAACGGATTTGTGCAGTGCTCCTTGGGAACCTACTTACTGTTTATCTGTATATTATGTGCATCGTAACCGCAATGTTTGTAGTTCATGTGCATTGTTCAGTCAATATACAAATAATTTACAGTTAGCTCAAGCAGCCAACTAAGTAGTTCTTACACTCGAAAATGATCTTAATGGACTAAAGTACAGCGCAACGCGTAATACCAGGCCTAAATCATTGCAGTGTGATTTGCTATAATGCGCGCAATATAAAAAAATGTTGCTCTTATCTTCCTCATTCAAGAATCGACACTTTACCCCTAAAGACATGCGAAACAAATTTTGTATAAGTTTTCCTGCACTCTCGGATACGTGAAAAACTATTTTTCACTCAAAGGAAGCACCTGTTCTCGTAAAATACTGCGTATTCAATCAATTATATAGATAACCTATCTGATCGAGTGTGCGAAAGTAACGAATTCCGAAACTCTAACGGGGAAGTGTGTACCAACTGTGAAAGCTTGTCGTTAGAGAAAAACGTTTACGAAAGGCTTCGCGATATTGTACAGACATACGTCGCCTCAGTGACAAAGAAAGGTGCTCAATTCAAGATTAATATTTCGGCAGCTACTTTGAATAAGCACGCATAGAATCTCCAAAACACTAAAAAAAAGGTAGTTGGGCTAAACTTTCAATGCTAGACGAGCCACTCGCATAACGGCCCGTCAAACAACCCTGATTTGCAGTAGTTGGCGAAAATACAGCGACCGGGCAAATGAAGACAAGAAACCTTATTAAGAAGCTCACATTTTTAATAATATTGGGAAACTTGGAGGCCCTGCTGCACGCTTTCATCGCGGCAAGAAAAGCTGGCGATCGGTAGTCGAGGCTCCTGAGAACGCATGAACCAGACGTTATAGCGCAGTGCACGGCCTGAAACCCAACTTCTCAAAGTCGCGTAGAAATCACTGCCTCGTCTCTCTTCAAATGATGCCGTATACCCGAATAGTTGCGCCATATGCCCAATGTGCATGGCCGTTGGCTGATTTCAGCATCGTGAGCGTGGCCTCCGAGATGCAATGGTGTGCCACCGGCTAATCTCAGAGGCCTTGTCGTAAGCTGCATAGTTCCTGTGGCCGCCACGACATGACGCCACGTGCCCCGCACGTGCTCGCCATCACGCTGAAGCCGCGCGTTCGAAGAAAAAAAAATGAAGAGAAAATTCTCAAGGTCATGACGCACACTGACGAAGGGAAGCATCTCTTTCCCCCTCGTCATCGCCTTCCCTGTGTAGCTTTCAGCGCGCTCGCTGATACGATAGGAGAGAGGAAGGTCTTAAAGCGTGCGATACATCAACTTCGCTATCGCATGAAGGGTTCCAATTAATAAGCCTTTTCATGAAGTCATTAGACCATTACTAGGAAATATGCTTCAAGACCCCTTTAAAGTGATTGATTTATATGTAGTGTTTAACGTCCCAAAACCACCATATGATTATCAGAGACGCCGTAGTGGAGGGTGCCGGAAATTTGAACCACCTGGGGTTCTTTAACGTGCACCCAAATCTGAGCACACGGGCTTTCAACATTTCCGCCTCCATCGGAAAATGCAGCCGCCGCAGCCATGAATAAAAAAGGTGAGCTGTTCATGAAAAATCGTATGCGTGCGAAAACTGTCCAAGAATAGAACAAGGGAAAACATACAACACACGAGTATCCGGTGTTTACGCTATCTCGTTGTCTCGTTTACATCGCCAACCTTTTCACTATTGATCGGGAAGGCTTTTTAAGGGAGAAGCTCCTTAGGGCGTGGGCTGTGCGTCCCCTGTATGTAGCCACCTCTAGTTTAGTTCTTGCAGTGTTCACTAGATAGCGGTACCGTCTCCTGTATGTATGCAAGCTAAGTTTTGGAAGAGGAGTGAAAGTGGGAAGGAGACAAGATGAGCAACTACAGGAAAATTTTTATCCAGAAAGGCAAATTGAAATAGCCACTAAGCAAATTGAGAAAGTAATCACGGAGGATAATAAGACAGTGTGGACATACACGAATCTAATTAGACTCTTTGAGCTAGAGCTTGCTAAGACACGTGACAAGTCACCCCGGAAAAGAAGACACAAACCCAAAAGTTGGTGGGATGAGGAAGTTAAGAGAGCCATAGCAAAACGTCACGAAGCCTCTAGGGAACACAGACATGCTAAGCAGCGGGGTGAACCGACAGAGGATGTTGAAAGAAAATGGGTAACCTTTCTAAGCTGTAGAAGGGATGCATCCCTTCTGTTCAATGAAAAGATTCGAAGGAAGGGAGCTCAGTGGCTGGCAGAAGTACATAAAAAAAGATAGAAAGGCAGCTGCGAAATTTTGGAACCATCTAAACTCCCTAAGAAATAAAACGAGCCTAGGGCAGAGATTTATAACTACAGCCCAAGGTGCTAGGCTAGAAGGGGACGAAGCTATTGAATATATAAGAACAAAAGTGACAGAAAAATATCAACAAAGAAATACTTTATGCACCACAATAGACGAGGACGAATCAAGTGGTGCAATGGCTCCATTTTCACAACAAGAGTGGGAAAGGGCTGAGAAAAGGGTTCCTAGTAGTACATCAACAGGCCCAGATGGCATTCCAATTAGGCTGATAAAGACATTAGGTCCGAAGTCTAAGCAGGCTTTGAGAGAGGCAGTGAGCACAATAATAATCGATGGTGAAGTTCCCGATGGATGGAAACTTAGCAGGATGAGCATGATCTATAAAGGAAAGGGGGACAAAGCTGACATAAACAACTACCGTCCTATAACAGTGACATCAGTGGTCTACAGGCTGGCGATGCAGATTATAAAGGAAAGACTTCAGGCGTGGATAGAGGATGAGGGGGTGCTGGGGGAACTGCAGAATGGGTTTCGGAAACACAGGAGGTTGGAAGACAATCTGTTCTCACTGACGCAGTGCATCGAAATAGCAGAAAAGGAACACAGGCCCCTGTGGCTAGCATTTTTGGATATCAAGGGAGCGTACGATAGCGTGGTTCAAGAGGAATTGTGGGGAATACTGGATACACTAGGCGTGGAACATGTAGTCACTAATCTTTTAAAGGGTATCTATAAAGGTAACAAGGTAGTTATAAAGTGGGAGAAACAGGTATCTAAGCCTGCAGAGGTAAAACGGGGGCTTAGGCAGGGGTGCCCCCTGTCACCCTTATTATTCATGATGTACCTACAAGGATTAGAGGCAAAATTAGAGGGAAGTGGGCTGGGCTTCAACCTCTCTTTAGTCAAACAAGGAAAGCTTATTGATCAGGCACTACCAGCATTAATGTACGCAGATGATATAGTGCTAATGGCCAACAACAAGGAAGATTTGCAGAGATTGATGGACATCTGCGGTAATGAGGGAGATAGGTTAGATTTTAGATTCAGTAAGGAAAAATCAGCAGTCATGATTGTCAATGACAACGAAGGTAGTGAGCTTAGAATACAGGAGGTCACGCTAGAGATAACAGATAAATACAAATATCTGGGCGTATGGATGAGCAATGGGACCGAGTATCTGAGGGAACACGAAATATACGTGATGACTAAAGGAAACAGGAATGCAGCAGTCATGAAAAATAGGGCACTGTAGAATTACAATAGGTATGATGTTGTGGGAGGAATATGGAAAGGGGTCATGGTTCCTGGGCTGACGTTCGACAATACGGTCTTGTGCATGAGATCAGAAGTGCAAGCAAGATTAGAAATTAAGCAACGTGGAATAGGTAGGCTTGCTTTAGGAGCTCACGGGAATACACCAAATCAGGGAGTACAAAGTGATATGGGATGGACATCATTTGAGGGCAGGTAAGCTAGCAGCAAGATAAAATTTGAGAAGCGATTGAGAGAAATGGGGGAAGAGCGTTGGGCCAGGAAGGTTTTCAGCTACTTGTACATGAAGAATGTCGATACAAAATGGAGGAAGCGAACCAGGAAGTTGACTGGTAAATACTTAGAAAACAGCAGGTGGCCAAACCAAAAAGAACTATCGGTTAAGAAGAAAGTGAAGGAAACGGAGACTGACATGTGGAGAATGGGCATGATAAAGAAGTCCGCACTAGAGATCTATCGAACGTTTAAGCAGGAAATTGCCAAGGAAAGGATCTATGATAATACTCAGGGTAGTTCTCTACTGTTTGAGGCCAGAACGGGAGTACTGCGAACCAAGACATGTCGGGCCAAATACGAAGGGGTAGACACAGTATGCAGTGCGTGTGGAGAGGAAGAAGAAACTGCCGAACACTTGATAATGTTCTGTAAAGGGCTTCACCCTATAGTTCAGGATGATGGCGCAGAGTTTTTCAAAGCACTTGGGTTTAGGGACCGGGAGGGCAAAATAAACTTTAAGCGGGTAGACTTAACTAGAAGGAGGTTATCTGATTGGTGGCTAAAGTCAAGGCACGAGTGAAAATTAAACTCTTCTCTGCAAAGTACGAATCCTCAAACTCTTTCTTTTTTTTCTTTTTTTCTTTTTTTCTTTTTCTTTTTTTTTCTTTTTTTAAGGAAAAAATATAGTTTTTGGTTCATTAGGTATTACGGCTTGGTGGCGCTAGCCACCGCCCGATCTAAAGGGTACAGCCATATCCATCCATCCATCCATCCATGTAGCCACCTCTCGTTTAGTTCTTGTAGTGTTTACTAGATGGTGGTACTTGTAGCTGATGATGAAAAGATGCAAGATGTTATAAACTAGACGGCGGCACTTGTAGTTGATGATAAAAGATGCGAGATGTTATAAAATAGGAATGATGTCACATATGGCGCGTGTCATTGGTTGAAGGCAATCGTTCGATTTAGTGCGGCGACGTACGCTATGGGGGAGCATTGTAATAAAATCGAGTGGGCAAAATGTACAGAGGATTCATGGTTTACCAGGTTTACCTCCGGAGCTTCGCCCACTCATCATCATTCACTTCGTGGATATGGCGGCACTTTTTTTTTTTGCATTGAAGAGGGCACTTTCGTATGCAGTGACCTTCGACAACTTAAAGGCCCAACCTCTGCCCCGACAGGTGAACTGGTTCTCGGAGGCCTCCCGGCTGGGCTTCATCGGGCGCCTCGAGTGCCTCGTGAAGCAGTACAGCGAGGCGTCGAGCCACTACCGCGAGCCCAGCTCGCTCACGCTGTCCGAGGACTTCGCCGACAACAGCGGCCTCGAACACACGTTCGCCGCCTACCGGCGAGCCGTGCGTCGGGGCTCCGGGGCCTCCGGGGTGGCAGGCTTCGGCAACGACCAGCTCTTCTTCCTCGCCTCGTGCCACAAGTGGTGCTCGGCGAGGGCCGAGCTCGCCTCGCCCTACTACTCGCCCAAGAACCTGCGCTGCAACGTGCCGCTCATGAACAGCGCAGAGTTCTCCGTCGCGTACGGCTGCCCCGGCGGGGCCCCCATGAACCCTGCCAAGAAGTGCACCTTCAAGTGAAGGTCAAACCGCGCGCGTAATACGTATATATAAAGAATAGCTCACGCAAAAAAAACGTATTTGCATATATTTTTACTATCGTATATACATTTTGGTACTCTCGATTAACTCTTATCCCTAACTGTTCCCATTCTAGGCTTCTGAAAACCTCCTGTAAGCACGCGGTAAATAGCATTGGGGAGAAATGGAACAGTTAGGGATAAGAGTTAATGGAGAATACATTAGCAACCTGCGCTTCGCCGATGACATTGCATTGCTGAGTAACTCAGGGGATGAATTGCAACTCATGATTACGGAGTTACACAAGGAGAGCAGAAAGGTGGGTCTTAAAATTAATCTGCAGAAAACAAAAGTAATATACAACAACCTCGGAAAGGAACAGCGCTTCGAGATAGGTAATAGTGCACTTGAAGTTGTAAAGGACTATGTCTACTTAGGGCAGGTAATAACCGCGGAGCCGAACCACGAGATTGAAGTAACTAGAAGAATAAGAATGGGGTGGAGCACATTCGGCAAGCACTCTCAAATTATGACAGGTAGATTGCCATTATCCCTTAAGAGGAAGGTATATAACAGCTGCATCTTGCCGGTACTTAGCTACGGAGCAGAAACCTGGAGACTCACAAAAAGGGTTCAGCTTAAATTGAGGACGACGCAGCGAGCAATGGAAAGAAAAATGGTAGGTGTAACCTTGAGAGACAAGAAGAGAGCGGAGTGGATTAGGGGACAAACGGGGGTTAAGGATATCATAGTTGAAATAAAGAGGAAATGGACATGGGCCGGGCATGTAGCGCCACTGGTCATTAAGAGTAACTAATTGGATTCCCAGAGAAGGAAAGCGGGTTAGGGGGAGACAGAAGGTTAGGTGAACAGATGAAATTAAGAAGTTTTCGGGTATTAAGAAGTTTGCGGGTAATTAAGAACTAGCGGAACATGGGGGAGGCCTGTGTCCTGCAGTGGACGTGGCCAGGCTGATGATACATTTTGGATTTCGATGCAAAGCTATTTATGAGCGGTAGTATATAGTTATAGGTGTTCAACCTGTCATGATGTGATTATCAGGCCTTGTCGATCGTCTCCTGCAATTTCGACCACCTGGGGTTCTTCAACGTGGCCCTGCATCTTAGTATACAGGCCTCAAGTATTTCCATCTTAATCAAAAATGCAGCCCCCGCGAACTTCAAGTCAGCCTTGTTTAGGCCAATTTACACTGAAATTCAATTTCGCTTCCCCTCTTTGGGAGAAGCACTATGAGATTTCAGCGATGTAAATTAAAACGTAGACGCTGTCATAGAAAAGTAGGAATGAGATGAGGTATGCACGAGGGCATATATCACTAACTGGCTCGTTCATGACAGGGTAAATTCAATATCATTGGGAAAATCAGTTGTCCTGTAGTGAACATAACAATGATGGTGATTATGACAGTGTCGATGAAAACAATAATTTTGTCTTGCGGACTTTAATAACTGCGTTTGCTGTTGCATTCTGGGAGAGCCTATTGCTCTACCATCGTTCAGTACATCGCATTCGAAATCGTCGCACATTTGTTCTAAACAGCTGGAAAATGCATGATCTTCAAGGTCCAATCAACTGAAGCAGTCACAGGCTGCGTGTGGTCTGTATATTGCTGCGGCTATCTTTTTCCTGTGACTTGCCGTTGGTTGGTCCTGTCAGTAAACTGGTTCACGGCGTAGTTTTTGTCCACATCGCCTTATGAAATGTGCGGCCACGAGACGGCTTTTTGCTTTTCTACAGTAGAGCACCAAGTACTCTAAATTGTTAACAACTTTACTAGTACCGGTAAAACCAGCTTTGACTAAAGAGCTAACGTATCGAGCTTACGCGGGTCAGTGGTGGCCAACTTAACCATTGGCTACCATTCAGCAATGTCGACCGATGTTACTTGTTCTCGTAACAGCGAAATAAACACATGTATACGTCTCTGCCTCCATCAATTAAAATGCATCACACAGTGCAAATATTAAGTTAGGAGAATTTTATTGCAGACTTCTGGGCCAAGAAGTGAATGGTGGTATTACTCTTGGAAGGGTAGTTCCATTTCACAAATACTGTCCATCCAATGGAACTATTGATCAGTGCAGGAAAACATTGTAACACGCATTGCAACACGCTGCTATCTAACCTTTTGTTGCGATAGCGGGCTTTCGCCATCACTGTTATGTTGCGTGTATTTGTGTTAATAATCCTCGAACGGTTTTATTAAAAGATTTCATCGCCCCGCTAATCAACTCGTACAATTTTATTTTATGAATGCGTCAAGGAAGCGGAGCTAAACGATGCGGCAGGCGTTAAACGCTTTCTTTGTTTTTTCGTGCCAGTGAGTGCATAGAAAGCTACGCAGGCAGGTACATGAAACGATGGGCAAAGAGCTGCGTCCCTTCATCAGCGAGCATAATGACCTTGAGCGCAACGTTCAATGCAGATATCTTTATTAGTTATTATTACTTTGCATCCCAATTGTTTAGAGTACAGTTTCATTCATTGCCTATTTGTTTTGTTTTTGTCTGCTTGTGCAAGCTGCTCGGAAATGTATAGCTCTGCATATGCGTTCTTAAACGCGAACTCCGGCGATATTAAGAGGTCAATAGGTAACAATGAAATTTGCTGAGTACTTTCATTTGCACGTTTCCATCATTCGTCCCTAATTACAGGCCGTACAGATACGCAGAGTTTTTACAAATCAATGTTATGGATTGCCCCGACTCTCCCAACTGGCTTCCAACAATTATTGACAACATTGTGCGTGTGCCTGTCTCTCTCTCTCTCTCTCTCTCTCTGTGTGTGTGTGTGTGTGTGAGAGCTTGTGTGTGTATGTGCGTGTGTCTGTCTCTCTGTATCTCTCTCCTTTGTCTCTCTCTCTCTCCTCTCTCTCTCTCTCTGTGTGTGTGTGTGTGTGTGTGTGTGTGTGTGTTGTGTGTGTTGTGTGTGCGTGCGTGTGCATGTGCATGTGCGTGTGTGCGTGTGCGTGTGCGTGTGTTGTGTGTGTGTGTGTGTGTGTGTGTGGTGTGTGTTGGTGTGTGTGTGTTGTGTGTGTCTTTTGCTCTTGCCTTTTTTATGTGTAAAAAAACGGATCAGATCTTAAATTTTAAACAGTATTTCCATGATATCCTTGAACGCCCGGCTTACTATCCATGTGATCACGAGCGCGGGGACGTAGCGGCATCTCGCGGCAGCCACGGTTAATATGGTGTTCACGATGCTGATATCAACCAATAGCCATGGACTTCGCGTATATGGGACACTATTTATGTAATAATAAACATGATGACGTCAACTTACGTGGTTGTGAAATGAGAAGAATGGCTTCTTTATTCCTGCTACTCTCTAGAATACTCGAAGTGTCAACCAACGTCCTATTTGTTATTCTGATGCTCATTCATTCATTCATTCACTGTTTATTCAGACAAAAACAATTATTGCCTAGGTTGAAGGGACCAAAAGCAGTATTATTAAAGCAGTTTCATAATGTCGTCCCGAAAAAGTTTCTTTGGCTTGTTCCTCGACATTTTGGTGCAACCTACTCCGAAGGATATGCCATGAACCGGCCATTAGCCGTCTCAGCTAACGCCCTCGGCTTCTCCCTCTTCCTCTCGTCATTTCATGGCTCATGCCCAACGCAGGGAATCGGCCGAGTAGTAGCTAAACTTTTTCAGTATTTTCTCTAGAGGTATTACTCGTATAAGCTATAATTAACTAGTATAACGAATTTAGGTGATAATTATTGCTAATGAAGTATTCACAAAATGGAACATTTTGCCAGATATTTTTTTTAGACTGACTGATGAATTCCTCAATGACGAAGGAAAAATCTCCGGTAACGCCTTTGACGTCGTTTGTAGTTATCTTCAGGAAACGAAACAAGTGCGATTTCAAATTCTTATTTATGTATTCATTACTATTGAAGTAACGAGACGAATAGCTGCAGCTGTATTGTCAGGCCATCTCCATGACTTTGTGTTGCAGTTGGGCAGGGGCTTGTTCCCCACTCGAAATCGTTTCCAAAAATGGCAGGTGGTACGCACCTCCACTTGCCCCATCGGGCTCTGCGCAAACACTCAGTTGGACAAGTTAGCGCTAGTGTCTTTCGTGTCCTTCTTGTCTCTGTGTCGTCGTTTTGTTCTCGCGCGTATAACTCTCGTCATGCCATACCAACTAGGCCCAAGCTTGCCACACTTCTAATTCACCGCAAAGTTTTTGCGTTTGATGCTTGTCGTCCGGCAAAATTTTTTTGGGCGGGCCCGTGGTTTTGGTGCAGCGGCCACGTTTTTGAAAGGAGTCAGCTGCTAAACAGAACAACCAAAGCAGGGTGTAGTTGGTTGTGCGTCGTCGACAATTGCAGCGCGCTGCTCAGACACAAACAGCTAATAGCTGCGACAGTTGACAGTTTGCGCTGGTCTTGAGTGTGGTCTTTTCGTGCGTTTTTTTTGTGTCCGGGCGATGCGCTGTAGGTTTGGAGCTGCTTGTCGTTCTTTGCGTGACATTCCAATTTCTTTCTGTACGCATTCATTGCTTCACCCCTGACGCGAAACTCACTTATTCGGTTACAAAAAGGGACTACGACATTGAGAAGTGAAAATTGGTTAGCCGTTCAGGCAGCAATACAGATTGGACTTATCTTATACCACGAACTAAGCGTTTGGTTGTGCATCTGGCCACTCAGTCTAACAGCACATTTAGTGCAGGTGAGCTTACCCCTATGTGTGCTCTAGCAACACGTGCCATCACTGCTGCACCACAGAGCGACACGAATACATCGGCTGCCTTTACATCTGGCTTCTTTAAGTTTACCCTTTATGCGAAGAGGCCAACTTTGTGTTTTTGTATTATGCTTTGTATTCAGGAAATTTCTGCCATCTACGTGTACCAACGCTCTTTCGTATCAAAATTGCATTGCAATGTTAATATAGTTGCGACTACAATGCGAGTCTCCTTGTTTGAATACTCGCATGCGCCTTTTCATCACTGCCCGAACCCTC